ATTTTTTAAAAAAATTTATTTAAATATATATACTAAAGAAAAAAAATATTTTATAAGATATTTTATTTAAGAGTTAAATATTGAAAATTATGTGAGTTTATATAAAATAAAATTTTGCATCGTTTTCTGCTCTAACAGATATTTACTAATAAAGTTGTTGATGTACTTCTTCGATGGGACTCGTGCTTAACGCGTCGAAATTTCCGTGGTAATTCACCCTCAACTGTGAAACTTACTTTTTATGTATTTTAACATTTATAGTTTTATTATTCTATTCTTATACCTTTCATAATATATGTTAATTAATTTTTGATTTACTTAGGAATTGAACAAATTTATGATCTGAAATTGATGCATCACTATACCGATAAGATTTTCCCGGTGTATGTGTAACCATATTTCAACATTAAAAGTCCAACATCTTCCGATTTGTGGAGTGGTTGACGCAATGTTTGAAGCTACCAAGCAGGGCATGGTTGAATTCGTCGTTGAGCTATTGAAAGTAAGCCAACCACTCATTTTCCATAATGATGATGGTAGACACGTTTTCATGATAGCAATCCAATATCGCCAAGTAAACATTTTCACTCTCCTACATGGCATTAATGAAGAATGGAAAGCCCATATTCTTAAACAGACGGATAGAGAAGGGAATAATATGTTACATGTGGCAGGGGAGAAAGCTCCTCACTCTCAACTTGTTCAAGTCTCCAGCCCTGCGTTGCAGATGCAAAGAGAACTACAATGGTTTAAGGTTTTCATCTTATTTGTCTACTTAATTATAGCATTTTAAAATTATTATTATTAATTATTTTAATTTATTTTTATACATAAAGTGAATTTTGATTCTCTCAAAAGTTCATATATAAAGTGAGTATAACTTATTTATTTGTTTCAAAAATAAAACCTAAATTGTTGTTCTAAAAATTAATGTGTACTTTGTTAACCGAATGCAGGAGGTGGAAAGAATTGTTCCAGAATGGTGCAAAGAATCTAAAAATAATAATGGTGAAACCCCTTATGAAGTATTTTCAAATAGCCATGAGGAATTAGTGAAAGCGGGGGAAAAATGGATGAGGGGCACAGCAAGTTCTTTTATTGTTGTTAGTACTCTCATTATTACGATGGCGTTTGCCGCAGCCATTACTCTTCCAGGCGGCAATGCTCAAGATGGGTTTCCCAATTTTTTACAGAATGGATCATTTATGATATTTATAATATCTGATGCGATTTCCTTCTTTGCTGCATCAACTTCAGTCATAATGTTTTTGGAAATCCTAGCATCGCGCTTCGTCCCGGAAGATTTTCTCGAGTACTTACCCAGTTTGTTGGTCATTCTCCTCTGCAGTATTCTTCTTTCTATTGCAGCAATGATGGTTAGCTTTTCTGCTGCTCTTTGGATTATGCTAAAACATCAACGGGCGGCAATCATTCCCATAATTGTGTTAGCTAGCATGGCAGTTTCATATTTTGGATTGTCGCAGTTTCCCATCGTAGATATTTATTTGTTGAATCATGCTGCGGGATTATCTTTCAACAGAAAAATGAAGCCTTGGCTGTATGGTGGAGAGCAAGTTGGTTGATTTTTTTGGTACATAAGTGAGCAGTTTCCCCTTCAACTGGAAATTCTTTAGCTTGTTCTTTGGTTATATGTTAGTTGGAACTTCTAATTTCCCTGTTCTATTTGGTTGGATTATCAAATTTTTTTGCTTTTAGTTGTGAGACTGTGGTCTATGTACTTTTCTATTGTGTAAAAATAATATTAATCATACATGTTATGTTATATTTTTAGATATCTTGCTTTATTAAGTATATATGTGATTGATGGCTTCACTGTGAAAAAAATCGGAGGTCATTTAAGATGGGTTTAATGTCAAATAAAATCATTAGATAATAAAAAAAAATAGGTAAAACAATATTTAAAATCTTTTGTCTTATCAAAAGTAAAATTCAATTCTTTTTAAAAAAATATGGGTTTTTTAATTAATTTTATTTTCATGAAATGTTAATTTTCTTGTAATAAATTATTAGTTTTTTTTTCATTAACATCATTAAAAAAATTGGAATTATACATTAGTGACCTAACTGTCCTAATCCAAAATTTTACCTTAATTGTTGCCTCATTGTTGCCCCCAAAAATTAGCTGTAAACTCAATTCTGTCGGAAAGACTGAAATATTATTATTAGGTTATGTACAGCTCAGTTATAGAAATCAGATCCTTCTTATGTAAAACTTCAAATGTTAAAATGATAATTTAATAGCTGTATTTTGATAAAAGGTTCTTTTTTTTAGTTTTTAAAGCTTACCTTTTCGGGTCTTTTAACCCTCTTAGTCACTTAAGTGATGATAAG